AAACACATAACACGTATTTCATAGCAAATACTTCATATCTATGTGTTAGAGGAAAGTAACTACACACTAACTCCAAACATATACTTAATACATTCAAACAATACTTGTATTAAAATTGTGTTTATGAAAGAGACTATACACTCACTTGATTAGATGATTATCAGACAGCACTACGGCTCTACAAGTAGTAACTCTTCGGTGAAACCGGGATATCTTCACACACTGAACTTCTCGCGGGTAGAGCTTCGGCTTGGAAACTCTTTTCTTCTCGGGATCTTCGGGCTTCGGGACTTGCTTTGGATCTTGGGATGATATCGGGGCTTCAGGGGTACTTCTTTGCATGTAAATCGAGGTAATATGGGTGAGAGAAGAGTGAATTTGCAACCATATCCGGCTGCCCCTTCAATTCTATTTATAGGGACATTTTCTGTACTCACGTCGTGAGTTTTAAGTGCTCACGTCGTGAGCACAGTAGGTCACTACGTTCTTCATTCATCTACTTGCTCTGGAGGCTCCAAAAGGTGTCAAAAGTCAGTTCACATCGTGAACACTGTTTTCACGTCGTGAACCCTGCCAGTTTTGGGGTTTTGCGTCCCGAACTTCATAAATTCATAACTTTCGCATACGAACTCCATTTTCGTTGTTCTTTATATCTACGCGTAGGTAAAGATAAGATCTACAAATTTAGTTTAGAATTAGTTGGCTAATTTTGAATTTCATTTTATTATATTATTTTTAGTAGGCCAGGACAGGAAAACTCTATTATAAACTCATAACTTCTTCATCGACATCCGTTTTCGTCTATCTTTTTACCGTTGAACTACTATCGATGAGATCTTCTATTCTCAGTTAGATTGTTTTGGCTATAAATCTGTCGATCTCATATTCGAACTTCGGGCTGCATACTGCTAAGTTGAAACTTAGAAAAATCATAACTTCCTAACACGAAGTTAGATTTGGACGTTCTTTTTATGCACACTCTCGGTTTAACTTATTCTACATTTTCATTTAGATTGCTAAGGCCAAATATCACTCTAATGTAAATTCACTATTTACGTGGCGTTATGTAGTGTCGTTTCTGTCGTGAAACTTCGATAGGTCATAACTTCTTCGTTATAACTCGGATTTCGGCGTTCTTTGTATGTACGGAATCCTTGTAACATATACTATAACATAGTTAAGATTAAGAAATCTAAATAATCTTCCATTAAAAAGTCATTTTTGATGGTTATAGTCTCTAAATTGACTAGACCGGATCTATGGGCGTTACAAAACAAGATAGCATTCTTATGACTCCATGCACTAAAAATGTCTAAAAAGGATACTCATAAGGTTTGGAGTAGCTTATACCCAACTAGACCAAGAATATGGGATAAAAAGGGACATAAACCTAAAGCTAACAACATTTAACAAGTTATTCACAGGTTTTGAACTTTATACCTCATAGAGAATGATTAAGAGATGCAATCCTAAATCCACAAGGCCTAGAGCTTTCTAAGCACCACCACCACCACCTTCTTCTTCCTTCAAAAGCACAAAAAATACACTTTCAAGCTCACAAAACACTAATATGGGCTTAGGTTTTCACGGGAGTTATTTGGGGAAATGGAGGCTGAGAATCAAGAGGGCTTATGGAGGTTAAGGTGTTTAAATAGACTTGAAAACTCCAATTTTAGGGTTTGGACCCTAGTCGAGTACTCCATGTGTACTCCCAACTACGCCATGTGTAGTTCATTAAAGCCTCGACAACTCATCCCTTCTACGCAACGCCTATAGGCTATATACGCCATACATAGCTTAAAACTCAAAATATATACTTAATATTTATGGAAGGGAATTACATGAAAGGGTCGAGCATTCCAATTGCACCATGTGATGGGCTACGAACCCCCTCGTCTTCTGATTCGGTTAACCAAACCTCAATATTTCCATCATCGTTGTTATCTACTTCCACTACCAAATGATTTCCCTGAAATGTTGACTATTTAGACCCTTAATCTTTTCTATGTAGTAGGCTTTATATTTTTTCTCCTTCTTCTCATTATGATTTCACAACATATATTCTCTTATAAATGGTTCTTCCTATTACAATAATTGCATTCGTATCCGGAATCACCCAACAATTTCTTTTCCTTATTCTCTTCTTCTTGTTGATAATTTATGACTCTTTCACTTTGTTCTTCCCAGCATATGAATTTCCTCCTTTGTATCCAGTACGTTATACATCAGTACTTGCATTATAACTTCCTCTAAACTATGAAAAAATCTTCTTAAAGAATTTTTTTGGATTACTGAACATGAGAGTTTTTTCTTTCCTAGTAAGTTTATCATTTGTCGCATCTGATTCAGAATCATCAACAACTATCATTTCCTTGGATTTTATTTATTTTACAACTTCTCCTTTCGCGACCAAAGACAGAGGACATGCATCTACACTTGATTTTGCATTTTCCATGACCTAATCTTCATGAGATTTTAAAATACTTACAACTTGTGCTAATGTGTAAATTTTAAACTGTTTATGTGCCTTCATAGTTGAGTTAATCATCTTCCATTCTGAATGTAAATTATTTATGAAAGCAACCTTTTCTTTTTCTCTCTTCAGCTTGTACTTTAACATTCTGCTAAGTGATTAAACCTAGTCCTAACTTGATCAATTGTCTCACCAATCTTCTATTGAAAAGATCCAAACTTTGAAAGTAATATTGTTTGCACAAAATGAGTTTGATCGGCATCATCGGAGTAAAGTTCCTTTAGTCTCCCCCAAATTACATGAGTCGTATCAAAATAGCTTACAAGTATAAATGTATCTGGTGGAAGTGCAAAACGTAAACCTCTCTTATCTCTTATATCACCTTCGATCTTTTTCCTTTTCTTCAGTTGTCAGATCCTTAAACCTCTCACATATATCAATATAATCAGCAATTGTTTTAACAAATTCCATTATCTTAGCATATTTATGAGAACCTTTACTGATTGATATGCAAATATATGATCCATGTCTTCAATTCCTGAGATGTGATATTCAAAGTGTGACACCTAAACTTCATAATTTTCAGAAAACAAAATTAGAATACGAGTAGATATCTGATACTACTTGACAAATTGAAAGAAACATCATGAAAATCTTCTTTTGACATGATTTCAAATGAAAATTTTGAGTAAGAATCAAATCAATGAGCAAATTCATAATTCAAATCAAAATGGATAATGGAACAAGGAATTCTAAATCAAAATTGTAATTAGATCGCAAAATGTGGAATAAATCTAAAAAACAAGGTAACAAATAAATAACATGAAAAAAAACGAATGAATTTTGATGATTTGAAAAACAAATCAGAGAAATCCTTGCTCTGATACCACTTGTAGTATCAATCATACTCTAGAAGACAAAAGTCATGTTTGTAAACAAGAAATTAAATGAACACTAGAGGGTAACTATGGTTTGTTTTCAATTAGAGAGTAAAAAGTCTGATTACAATGTTGATAGTAAGAACCTCGCAAAAGATACTCTATCTATCTTACTAACATCCCTTATATATAAGACACAACAAGGGAATCGATTAGGAAATGACCAATCTGGTCATGAAACATAAGTTAAGATAGGCTACCAAACTAACTAAAAAACTACAAATACAATATTATGAAATACAATATTGTGAAACCTTTCACATACAGACTGAAACACAACACCTACGAAATGCAAGATCTAACATATTGCTCACCAAGATGTAATATGGTTGAATAAGATGAAGTTGGGGTTGTCTTGGTGGGCAATTAGAATTGATTAATTATTAATCAGAATTAATCTAAAATTAATTCGGGATTAATTGGAATTAATTAAAGGTCCACTGGTTGAATTGTATTTTTTTCATAATTGAGCAAGGAAATAAAATTCTAGAACCCATATAGGGGTGAACGAAATTATGAGATTTTTTAAGGTTTCCAGAAGCCTCCTGGTTATGAATAAGGAAATGATTTAAATTGGGATTAAATATATTATTTAATCATTCAAATATTGCTTTGTCCCTATGTTACTTATTCTATAAATAGGATCCATTAGGACCTCAAATTCGTTCATACTCTTCCTTGGAAGATACCTTAGCCGAAAATCTCCTCTCTCCTCTTGTCTTCTAGTTATAGGGTTTTTGTGTGAACCATTAGAGATATCATCCTTTTTTGGTGCTAATGTTTCCAAGACTAGCACTACAAGGAGATTGAAGTTATATGCTTACTATAATAAATCAAAAAGTATGTAACTCTATACTTGGTAATTTTAAATTACACTAGGGTTATGCTAGTTTTAATTATTCATTGTAAATAGTTGTCAAGGTGTATGACATAGATATTTTATAGGATACATGTATCCTATTAATTGTTAATTGTTTTCAGCATTGTACAATTTTTTCCTATAAAACCCATTGGTTCTCGACTTCATGTAGGAGGTAGAGATGGGAGGGGGAGAGAGAGAGAGAGAGAGAGAGAGAGAGAGAGAGAGAGAGAGAGAGAGAGAGAGAGAGACGGCCCCACCGGTTAAAAATGAAATAAGAGAAGGCCATTATAGTGTTTTTATTTATAGTTGACATAAAAAGACTAATGGTGAGAAATTTCTCCAAATGGACCATTCACACAAAAAAAAAAAGTCAAAGGTTGTTTTGGGATCTAAATCATCGGGATACAACATTGTACTTTGGCACAGAATAATAATTTATCCCATCGCTTATGAACAACAATAACTCCTTGCTTTATTCTACTATAAAAATTTGTTTGCATATAGATGTGAATCACAAGCAGATTGAATTAAAGTGCATTGAGTCAATGTTAGATGCAGTCTTTCCATCCTCCAGTATCCTGCTACATATATACAATATATAACTCCACATTAGCACAACATAATACCATTTGAGTAAGTGATAAAATTATGCTTGTAAATTAATATTTTTATAAAGATAAAAACAAACCTTATTGCGCATAACTTGATTCTAGCCAAGAGAATAAATTTAGGATATCAAGTCATCATTCGGACCATTACCATCCATGTCTTTCAGGTAATCAGGAAAATCGTCAGATGTTTGTCTTGGGATTGACGAAAGGTTATATGGATCCGAGACTCCTTCACCAACATCATGTGAACCAGATATTACTTGTAGAAAATAATTATTGGTTGATTTAGTGATTTTGCCACCAATGCCTTCACCTTGATTTGAATCAAAGCCATTTCTTAATGGAAATAGGATATCAGGTGTAGGTTGGACAATGTTTTTTGGAATAAATTCGTTCATTATTGGCAAAACTCTAGGGGTTTGTTCATTCTTGTGTTTCTCGTCTATCTGCCATCCATTGATTGACAAGTTAATGCCAATAACACTACTATGATCTTCTTTAACGTTTTTATCGGTTTGTATCAAGGGCATACAACCAAACTTTCTACCGCTAACCTCTAGTGGTGAAACATTACTAGACAACGTAGAACTATTTGATGAAGTGGGCGTTCTCCCTCTTTCGTTAAATTTCCATTTTTCCTTGCGGCATTTCTGGTATGCAAGTGAACAATTTAAAATAAATAAAGCAATAGCAAAAATTTATACTAGATGAAAAATATATATATACAACTGTTGTATCATCTCTGGAAACTATTAATAATTCATTTTTTACACATTGATAAAAGATATACGATACCACTAAGAAGAGAGTAAAAGACTATGGCAGTAACTAAATATTTTAATATACTTGACGTTTGGTTAGGGACATGTTGAACATATACTTATATATTGTTCGTATTATAATTACTAATGACAATAATATGTGCTATTTTTTGGTTTTAATGAACGTTAGTGTCTAGTTCATGTTGTGACGAAGAAATAAAGTAAATTGGTAAGGAAGTCATAACCAATAAATTAATTTCGTAGCAAATAATATTTGTATGCTTACTTGGTTACTATGGTAGGTTCGTATTTATTTTCTCGTAAAAGCATCTCCTCCAATTAAAGATGTTGAGTACAAATTCCTAGTGTTCCAAAAACAAAAGTTTGTTATAATTTAGGCACCAATATTTCTTTTACCTTGAGTGATCTTAACGAATGTGTAGCGATGAAAAATATCATTGTTCTTCTATTGTGTATAATAAAGATTTTTGATGTTTAATATTATAACACAGTTAAAGCAACTGAGATAGTTTCGAGGCCACTACCCCCATCACCCTTCGCGTCATTTTCTTCACCTGTTTGTTGATACCTCGATTCACCCTTGGACAATTAAATCAAAATGCAATCTCTCAGGATTGGTTTGGACACAATCAAGCAACAACCTTCCCATAAATGTTGTTTTCTATGTCTCTTCAAGAACCGGGCACCAATGATTGGATTATGGGCACTGGCGCCACCAACCATGCCCATGCAAATGAAGGTATTCTCGACTCTATTAGTCATAATAAAATTTCTCATTCTAATTTAGTTGGTAACGGATCTCATATACCTATAACTAAGACCCGTCGCGTCACTCTTTTTGCCCATTATGTACTTTGCACACCGTCTCCTTCACCTTCATAATATTCTTATCACACCAACCATAATTAAAAACCTTATTTGTGCCCATAAATTTACATGTCAAAATAATTTTTCTATTGAATTGATGAGTTCGGTTTTATTGTCAAGGATTACTGAACAAACCAACCTCTAATTTGATGTGATGGTGATGACCCTCTCTACTTGGTTCTACCTTCCACACCTCAATCTCACATTTCCACAAGTCCTTCCACTTGGAACCAACGTCATCGCCATCACGAAGATAAAATTTTGCAATCTTTAATTTGAAATAATTCCATATCTCGTAATAAGACAAAGTTGAGTGTTGTTTGTCAACCGTGTCAACCTGGAAAACATGTTAAACTTCATTTTGCTTTATCATCAACTTGTGTTTCACATGTATTTGATATCATTCATTCGAATATACAAACTTCTCCGTTGCTAGTATTGGTGGTTTATGATATTACGTTATTTTTCTCGACCACTACTCTCATTTTCTTTGGGTTAACCTACTCAAACAAAAATCTGATGTATTTTCTTAATTTTGATTTTCTCCAATTACATCAACAACCAATTCAACAAAATCATCAAATATTTACAACGTAACAATGGGGGTGAATATAAGAATAAACAATTTCATGACCATTTTGCTACCCATTACATTCAATTTCGTTTATCTTGCCTCCACGCCTCTCAATAAAATGGCAAATCATAACACATATTACAAACAATTAACAACTCCATTCGATCACTCCTTTTTAAAGATCACATGTCACCCACATATTAGGTGGAATCTCTTCACATGGCCACTCATTTACTAAATATTTTTCCCTCTACCATAATTCGAAATGACACTCCTCACTTCCATGTCTTTCAAACTCACCCTGCCTATAACCATGTATTTTGGTCTTTATCTTACCCTCACCTCACCACTCCTCACAAACTCGCACCCCAATCTTCCCCATGTGTTTTCTTGGATTATCCCTCAAATCATCAAGATTATTATGGCTTAGACTTGTCATCTTGGAAAATAATTATGTCTCATCATGTTATATTCGATGAGACCACATTCTCATAATCTATTATATCAAATGAACAACCTTCATACATTTTTCTTGATGATTCATTTTATTACTCACCTCTCTTTCACAACATCATTAATCCTTCAACCTCTTCATCTCACTTATCGGCCTCCCTCTACCTGAGGATTCTCTGACTTTTGATCACCCCTCCTCTTCACCACACCTATCCATATCGGCTAATACCTCTCATATAGCTCCATCTGTAACACTCAACCAACTCAGCCTTCATACCACCTCTATTTCCTAACTGGCTAAGAGCTATGAATGATGAAATGAATCCTCTTATAACTAATGTAACATGGAAGATTGTTCCACGACCACAAGGATTCAACATTGTTAGGTTCATGCGCCTCTTTCATCACAAATTTCATGTAAATGGTATGCTCTCTCATTATAAATCCAGACTTGTAGCAAATTGGAGTAGTCAACAACATGAGGTGAGTTGTGATGAGATTTTTAGTTAAATTGTTAAACTGGAAACCATTCGTATTGTTCTCATCATAGTGGTTTCATGTTATTGGCCCATACATCAGCTTGACGTGAAAACTGTTTTCCCTCATGTCCATCTCTAATAGACAGTATACATGCATCATCCACCCAGTTTTCGGGATTCTTAATTTACCGACCATGTTTGTTGATTGCAAAGATATCTATATGGCCATAAACAAGCTTCTAGAGGTTGGTACCATTGATTTACTCTGTATGCCACCAATATAGGTTTTCACCGGAGCCGCTCATATCCATCACTTTTTATTTTGCAGGTAGCGATGACCATTTTTGTAAATCTATTTATCATTTGTTTTTATTTATATATATTTTTTTAAAATAGGAATACCACCCCCATACCACATCTGATCCCATTCCAACCACACACTTATTCTATACATGTACTTTTTTCTCTTAACAAATAACAAAGAACCCTAATTTGGACCACCTTCCATCACCGTTGGACAACCGAAGACTGCCTATCTACATCGATAACCTTGTATCTCTAAAGCCACCACCTTTTACTTTTTCTCTCTCCTCCACCTAGTACAGTCATCCACCTAAAAGTCATCCCACCACTACCACAACTTCATATGGTGTTTTAAGATATGAAATAGTGGTGTGTTGAGAAATCCTTTCCAGTAATTGGACATGAAAGAGTGATGTGTGGGGAAAGGAGTTTTCCTTCCGATCACCTTCGAATGTGAATGATTGGTACGTTGGGAAAACCTTCAAATCTCCTCCCGAAGAACTAGATCAACCCTGAAGAACCACTTTTGCTTTCATATGAGGGTGTTTCTTTGGTGATCTGTGTGCTTTTCTGGTTATAAATACATCATTTGTTTTATGTTCTGGTTTGGATCGATGGTTTATGATTTGTAATTTAGTTATTGGATATATGGTTTTTGTTATGTATCTTGTTTTCATATTATTTTGTTTTTTTTCTAGAGTTTTTAATATCAGTGGTTTTGATAAGAGGTTGGTGGTGAGTGGTTCTGATAAGAGTTTGGTGGTGAGGACTAGAGGTGGTTCTCCGATGACTAAACACAATGAAGGGTGGAGGCATGGGATTGGGTGGGGACGAGTCTCATTTTAATGTATTTTATTTTTTAAATAAATAACAAATTAATAATTAATTAATCAGTTAATTAAAAAGGAAACAAATGAAGGTAACATAGCCTTTTTACGTTCGACACGGACTAAATACACAACAAACACACTATAAGGATTGTCTAAGTTAAAAAATAGGGACCAAGCATGCAAGTTACCCAAAACTAGATGGATCATTCATGTAATTTTCTACATATAGTTCTAGTATTGATGTGTCTTGTCACTTGTATTTATATTAAATAAGAATCTAAGTATGAGGAGGGAGGAGCATTAATGTTAGCATTGGGAGGAGCTACAAAGGCATGAGGTAGTAGTGGTGGTGATTTTATTTTTATTGGATTCTTTCGTTGTCACACAAACACATTTGAACTCCATTTATTTGGTGAAATTGATGGAGATATCAAGAATATAGTATGAAATTCCAAAGCATGGGAGTCATCGAAAAAGGCCATCGATGTGAGTAACAAGTTTGTGAGTTTATATATGTATGCATATGTATGTATGTTCGTACATATGAGTAGCTTAATATATATTAGCATCCATAAGTTTATTAGAATTATATTTTAAATAAGGTTATGACCTTTAGGTATAGCTTGAGTAAAACTTAGTAGTTTGAGTAGAACTCAGTGGAGCAAGGTTGTTAGGAAAGCTTGGTTAGAGTCCTTCTAGATCAAGGGCAAGCTTAAATGGAGTTCGAGAAATGAAAAAAAAAAAAACACATAAATGGAACCATTTAGTATTACTTAATGACTTGAGTGGAGTCCATATAGTGGGCAAAAGTTAGAACGAAATTATATGTAGTTGCATACAAATACTTAATAGACCATGTGTTACGCCTCATGAGCATTATATTGAATTTCATTACATCATGTGTATTGTCTATAATTTCATAGTACCTTTAAATTGTTTCATACTTATATGATGTATTTAATTTTCTTGGTGTATTGTTGGACGAGTTGATACCTAGTTACTCAATACCCACTAAGCATAAAGCTTCATCATTGTTGATGATATTTATTATAGGTACACATTTAAATATTAGTTGAGTTGAGTATTACAAGTTTGTTCTTGATAGATAATACAATATGATAAATTGTATGAATAGTATTAGATGAAGGTTAGCTTATAATGGAACATACATGATGAATTAATGTAACCTTAGAGATGATAACAGTTAGTTTTTTAGGGTATGGACTTAATGATTTGATGAGA